GAAGTTATAATTTATTCCGTGGTTTACCCTCATGTTATTATTTCGTTATTACATTTTGTTAATATTTTTTCGTCGTTATTGATCTTAGTATTATGTCACCACGTTTTTTAATAAACAGTCCGGGTGGTTAACACCCGTTCAAGAGCGGTGAATTTTTCTACTCTCCGGACATTGAAAGTAGGGATCCATGCGTCGAAAGTTGATACTCTCTCGTCTTACCCCCCTTCTTAGGTCCTTTAGTGTAACGGATTGCCTAAAATTACTTAATTACATTTAAGGAGCCATTTTATCATAAACCAGTGGCATGTTTGGTTTGTTCTTAAAGACCGCGAGTGGTCTGCGACATTTAAGAAGAAATTCTCCGGAGGGGAGACAGGAGGGTGAACAATTGACATAATAACGTGGACAAACTTGAGTCAAATAGTCATATTTGTTCTCGGGTGCGACAGGTGTTGGGAGGTTTTCGTCAGGGGTTGTTGAGTTTGAGGTGATAACCGGTTCTGTTTCTCCGACATTCCCTGTTGGTCTTTGTTTTAACATCTGGATGGTGGTCCGACCCTTTTCTGACTTAGACCCGTTATCCATATCGTCGAACCACAGCTTCTTTAGTGACCACCCTCGGTTAATAATCTTTTACCTATCTTTGTTCTTGTACAGCACTTTGGTCAACTGAAGGTTGTTTTAAATGTGCTATATAAATAAATAAAGATTGAGATTTCCATCAAACGCCAATTTATCATAGAATATGGATATCAAATCTGTGAATCAATGTTTTTGCTTACTGCTTAATGAAACAAACTCCTGATGTGTTTTTAAGGCTGGAATAGGAATGAGTAGACTTTAAAAAGCTTTAAACAATTGCCCCCTAAAGTTAATTCAGTTTTCTCAGGAGCAAAAAGAAAGTAACTGCTTTGCTCCTCTGCAATAACATACAGCTTTCCTGGTACAAAGTAGATTCAGCCATCACATCTCCTGCCTAACGATTCTAATCTAAAACAGATATTGAATCGACCGGCCCTCTCCTCATAAAGCAGGGTGTCAAACTAAATTTCTTCGCGGGCCACATCAGCATTGTGGGTGCACTCAAAGGGCCGGTTGTAACTTTAAGACTATACTGTATATCAAAACACATATATAAATATTTAATATATATAAAATAATGTATTATATGACATCATTGCCTCTGCATTGGATTATTATCGGATAGGGTAATAACTTCATAATTAACTACGTCTGAAAGCAGAAGTCTAGGGCAAATCATTGCAAGTCTCTTCACTGAGAATGTTACAAAATGATTTAAAAAAAATCTAATTCTGAGAAAAAGGCAAATTCTAAGAAAAAATGAATATTTTGAAGAAAATAAGTCAAGTCAAATTCTGAGAAAAAAAGTCAAATTTGAGATGCATTGTGGGACATGTAGTTTATGGGCAACGTGCTTCTGTAAATCAGCATGTCACCGTATAATAAACATATTATTATCTTTGCAAGCTCTTGAGGGGCCGCATTAAATGAAGTCGCGGGCCGGATTTGGCCCCCGGGCCTTGTATTTGAGACCCCTGTCATAAAGCATTAGGCTACTTCCATCCTTACTTGTTATTTCTCCCATCAATCAATAAGAAGCAGAGAGCACTTGTCATAACAATACACTGCAGTGAGCGGTGAAATAAATGATGGAATGAATGAATGAATGGCATGAATGAGGAATAAACAAATGAGTGAAACAAAGGAAACTGTGTGAGCAAAACAAGGAGGAGAAAAGAGATCACAGTTAGGGTTTGAGATAAAGCACATCAGTTTATCAACGATGGTTTGTTTTTCAGCACACACACATTCCTATACTTGCAAGGGCCCATACAGTAACTCATAACTTTATCCCTTTAAATAGAAATAATTCTTACTTTAAAATATGGCTTAAAGAGGCCCTTCAAACCTTTTCCGGTTTACAAAAATTGTGTCACTTTCCAAATGTGCCGCACTTCCTAAAACTCACAGAAATGGTTCCTCACCAGACAGAACTATGACAGCACACACACATAACTAAACTAAATACATTTCCCATTCCTCAGAGTTTAACAATGAATCCACTCATCCATCCATGTTTGTCTCACAGCTGTTGTGAATCGCCCCCTCACCGGTTTGGAGGGGTGGTCCCCCCCGCCCCCCTGGGTGTCCCGGGGGTGGCGTGTGTGTGAGAAGTGGGTGATGCTGTCTTTGCTGATGTGTCCTGACTCAGCTATGTCCACCCCGCTGTCCTCACTGAGGGTCTGGCCGCTGTCTGACAGCTGAGACAGAGCGCCACCTGAGGGTGAACAGCACATGGGACGTGAGGATGGGAAAACAACACATCGTCTATTGTGGGGATTTTATTTTACTATATAAAAGCGATACTATATTTTATTGTTTTAAACTTGCTTCAACTTTCAGAGCGCTCTTCAGTTTAGTAGAACTGCTAAAAAGAATCAAATGTGGAAATATATCAGATTTTAAGATGTAGTGACGTTTTGCATAGAGTTGCTATGATACACATTTTTCTGGGTAATGCTAATTTCAGTGCATTTATCCCAAATAAATACATATTTGGAGAGATAGTACATGGAATTTACAGTATACACATATCATACATAATAATTACATAAGGTGGCGAGAAACGGTGAGCAATAATTAGATTTGTAAATGTTGCAAAGACTATATTTGTATCTACAAGAACAGTCAATACATACTGAATATGGAGCCCAAATTTAAAGTAATTGTTAGTTGCATCCACACTTGTGCATGTTATTATTTAAAAGATGAAAATGACATATATATATTGGACTTCCGGAGCTCCACTATATGTCCCTCACCTCGAGTTTGGGGAAGGGGCCGCACCTCGTTGACGTCGGGCTCTGCGTTGGGCCTGTGAACCTCCACCGTAACAAACTGCTGCTTAGAGCCCGGCGAGGAGGGGGGGGCTTTGGACATGGACACTGGTTTAAAAGGAAGAGAAGGGGGTGGAGGAGGGGCAGGGAGTGGAGGTGGAGGTGGAGGTGAAGGGGACGGGGCAGCGGGTCTGGTGCCCCTGCTGGGGGACAGGACCCTGGGGAAAGGGCCAATGTTGTGCTGTGTGAGCTTAGACAGCTGAGCAGCAGCTATCTGTTCTCTCCTGGAAGGTACCGTGGGTTCTCTCTTTTTAATAACCGCGTAGTCCCGGGAGGGGTCCCTGGGGTGCTCCCGTTTGTGCAGTGAGGGTAAGGCGGGGGCGTGTCCTGGCTCTCTGCTGTGCTGGTGATTGGACGGGGCTGTGAAGTACAGGCCTGATTGGGAGGATTCGGACGAGGGGCTTTTGTTGACCGGATCTCGTCTAGTTGGCCGCCTCTGCACCCCTGGTGGGGGCGGAGGCTTGAAGGAGGGGGGGGATTCAGCTGGGGTGGACTGTACGTCGTCCTGAAGTGAGAGGATATATTCATCATTGATTAAGGGTGCATGTATCAAGGCAATATATCCGGCAGAACAAAACATGACCTTACTGTTTTAATCAACATTTAATCCTGACAAACTGTTTTTTTTTACTTGCATATTTTTTAGAATGTTTTTCAAATGTAAGACTCACTTTCTATGAAAGGTAAAGGTATTATTTCTTCTTCATTTTATTTGTATGTAGAAAAATATCTGCCAGGTTGCTTTGTAACTTACCTGTAGTTGTTTCTAATTATTGTTTTGTTTTGCCAGGTTTTGATAAGTATGTGTACATTTGTTTATTTGAATGACTGTATATTTACACATGTATCTCTCTATTTATTTATAGAAGGACCATGCATACAAAAACATTAATCTCAGCAAAGAGAAGAGATGTAATAATATATGTAATGTTCATTTACAAGCACATTTTAAACACAGTGTTCCTTAAACCAATTTGAACTAAAATCTAAATCAACTATGGGACAAAAAACAGTCATGTACAGAGCCATGCTCAGCTGGAACTCTTTACCGGTCCACATCATTCAGGAAAATTCTCAAGTACATATCAAAAGGTTGCTAAAAATGATTTATGTATTATAAAGTAAATTTGAACTGTGTCTGTGGCTATGTATGCATACATGTATATTATTATGTACACTTATTTGTATTTAATTTAGTTTGGCCTTAGGATGGCGATAATTGGATGACCATTTTAGTTTTCACTTCATACAGCACTGTAAATTGCATGAAATTATGCAAATCAAGCTGTTTTGTTTTGTTTTAATTTACTTGTATGTATGTTTATGTATGTTTTGTGTGTGCGAGGACCCCAGGAAGAATAGCCAATGCTAATGCTAGTGCTAATGGGGAACCTAATAAAGACATAAAGACATAACTCAAACAATTGCATTAGACACCTGTTGAACCCTTTCAGTTTCAGTGAAAATAACAGCCGTCTAGACTCTAGAGTCTAGAGGAACATTAACACATCCAAACCATGTAGAAAGCGTTGCTGCTCCATCGGGACCCTGTATTAAAATGTAAAAATGCTTGAACAAAAACTGAAGATGGACACTGAGACAGAGTGGTTCACAAAAATATGGACTGAGACATAAAATGAGTGTAAAAGAAAGATTGCAAAATTAAAAGGAAGTTATGATTTGAGCGGCAGGTAGCCTTGGACGACTGCAGAGTAAAAGCATTCTTCCTGATCTCCCTCTGATCTCTTTCTGTTCAGAAGAAACTGAGCCTCAGATATCTCTTGTTGCTTTGGAAAGTACAGACCTTTTTCTTTTACCCTGACCGTAACCACCTCCTTCTTGAAAGTATGGAGAAGGGTGGGAGGATAATTGGACATGCCAGGTGGCCGATCCTCTTTCCAACCAACAACACAAAAGGAAAGTGGAAAGGCTTCACCAACACTTACTTTCAAAAAGCACCGCCATCAGTCCCTATCTCAATACCTCCCTTTAATATTTTGTTTGAATTTTCTCCCCTGTGTGGAATCCATCTTTATCACACCAGAGCTGTGCCTGCCGGGCTCACCAGAGAGATGTCGGCCAGAAGCGTGTTCAGACTCTCCGGGGGATCCGCCTTATTACTGTCCACCGCGCTGTCGTTCTGAGAGACAAAGATGGAGTAAGAGGGACGCGAGGTGAAAGAGAGCAGGAAACAGAGAGGTTGAGGGGAGAAGAGAGGGATGCTAAACACAGATGTGTGTTTACCCCACAACTGATACTAAATTAGATTTGGTGGATGTTCCATGTTTCCTACAAAAAAGGAAAGATGTCAATTAGGGCTGCTCGATTATGGCAAAAATCATAATCTCGATTATTTGGGTCAATAATTGTAATTGCGATTATTAAATGCGATTATTCATTGACTTTGAAAACATCCATTTATTGGAGAAATTTTTTTTTAACAGTATGTTTTTAACAATTGATTACCCTGAACGTTAAGTATAATTCAACTGAAAACCAAAAAAAAAAATATAGATATAAAAAAAAAAAAGAAAAAAAAACTAATAAAAAAAAAAAGAAGAAATTATCGTTTTATTTCGATTACTTTGTTTTCGTAATCGTTGCAAGCCATAATCTTAATCGCCATTAAAATACGAATAATTGAGCAGCCCTAACGTCAGTGTCAATAGAGTCAATTAATTTCAAGATTGACAAGCGTTCGCTTGTCAATCTTGAAATGAATAGGGAAGGAAAGCAATTAAGATAGGCACACAGACCCACACACAGATCATGTCTTCTAGCTAAGCAAAACGCACATGCTGGGAAAATCGATAAAGGACCATCAGCTGAGTTCAAAGCTGGATTTGGAGGCTCAATCCCAGTGGCGTGGGGGAGAGGAGGTCATTTGCAGCAGATCTGTGAATGATTTCCGAGCCGACGAGCTGAGTTCAGGGAAACGCTGAACTTCATTTAACTCTGCCACTAAACCAAAACAAAAGCCCCAGCAATTCAGCTTAATCATCGACTTTCCATGTGCGCAGACGCTGCTCTGCACTGTAAGCAGTCAGGCCACGCTGTGTTTGTTCGTGTGTGATCATGTTCATCTGTAGCTAACATCCATCAAGAAAGTGTGTGTGTGTGTGTGTGTGTGTGTGTGTGTGTGTGTGTGTGTGTGTGTGTGTGTGTGTGTGTGTGTGTGTGTGTGTGTTTGTGTGTGTGTGTGTGTGTGATTGTGGGAGCATGTGTATCTGAGAGTACCCAATAATCATCTCAGGTAATTCTGCAGAACAGGATTAATATCCAATGTCAACATGCCGTGCAAACGCAGTGAGCAGTGTGGTGTGTATGTGTTATGGTGGGAAAACAGTGTGGAGGTTGAATGTAATTGGTTGGTTTGACTTCTGGGGTAAGAATCAGATCTGCTGCTGGGGGGAAAATATTTTCTCTTTACAAATTAGTGTAGTAGAATAAAGCCAATTTTGTATCGGTGACAATTCATGACGTCACCATTTTTGCTGGCTCTCCTTTAAGCCCCTGTCACACTGTCCCGAAATTGACACCCTATGGACACACGATTAAGGAAATGTTCAAATTCGGCTCTGATCGTAACAACATTGGGCCATTCGTGAGGGCATCTTAAGCCATCGTATGATCGCCGGTGGGTTTCTCAGGCTCGGCAGCAACTTCGGAGCGGCAACTTCGTAAGGCACTCGTGAGGGCATCTTGTCAAATCGTGAGGGCATCTTGTTATCATTGGTGCCATCGGGCATTCACTCTGATCGGGGCGAATGCCCGATGGCACCGATGATAACAAGATGCTCTCACGATGGCCTTACGAAGGGCAAAATTGATACACAAATTCAACACGAAAATGAACCTTCGCAAGGTCCTTCGGCAATTTTTTGGCATGCCAAAGACTTTGTCACCGCTCACGAAGTTGCTGCCGGAGCCAGTTGTTGTTGCTATGGAAACAACATTACGGAGAAAACTTCAGAGAAAATATCAGTACAGTATCATAGTACATAATCGTTTTTGTTACCATCGTTGCAGTTGTATGTCTTAAATGTAAATGTTGCCTTCGTGTGTGGTTCGGAGCCATCTTCGTGCGAAATTCACAATTCCATATTCGTGTGTCCATCGGGTGTCAATTTCGGGACAGTGTGACAGGGCTTTATGGGGCGCATGTGTTATATAGATTTGTTTGCATGTAAATGGAATGCAAAGGCTAAAATCCTAAAATTCCCTCCAGAAGCAGTCTCTCTCCCACACACTACCCCCCCTGCCTGTGTTTTTCTCTCAGCTGTTAACCAATCACAACAGAGCCGGCCAACTAACCAATCAAAGCAGACTGGGCCCTGGTTTCAGACAGAGGGTGAAAAGAAGTATGAGGAAACTAAAGATCTTTTGAGCATTAACACATTTTAACATTTAGAGCCACCAAATGCAAATATCCTGAGTATAAGCAATTAAGGGCCCCATTGCAAATGTGACAATGTCTGAGATGTGCTTTGTGACACTTTCTCTGCAAAGGTTGATGTGGTTGACAATAACTAATTCTACATTCTCTCAGCAGGAATTTAAGGCACCATGATCACTTATCTGACGATAACCATCTTAAAGACAAACGATGATTTACTTTACACGTAGGCTGATCATGTAGCTCTGATTTATTTTAGATCTGAAGCAGCAAATCACCGAAGAAGACAGCACCACAGATGTTAAACTGCAACAGTGGAAACAATCGTGATTACAAACCCTACAAATCTTCCCAGACACCTGATTACCTCCGCCATGGAAGTTATGTGTTTGCTTCGGTTCGTTCTCAGCAGAACAGAAAAAACGGCTGGCCTCGTTTTTCAAAAACTTGGGTAAGGGTGAAGCATGGTCCAAGGAACCCATTACGTTTTGAGCAAATCCAAAGTAAATCATTTATCAGGTTTACAATAGGAGATAGTGGAAGAAAGGTTTTGTACCACCTGCTGCCGCACCTAGCTAGGTCTGGGCAAGGCCATGTTTAGATCACGGGGCAACTTCTGGGAAATTCAGCAATAAAGAGTTGCCCTTCTCTTTGCCCTGATCTCTGTATGAGGCACACAGCATGCAGAGAACAATGTGTCTACATCTGAATGCAACTACTCAAGCTGAAGAGTCTGCTTTTATACAGTTTTAATGATACATGCTCAGTCCTGAGAAAGTGACCCAAGCCTCTGTCAAAGGCAAATAGACCCATGACCAATCTGCAGTCTATTGGCAATGCTTTCAAAACATTATTATTTATACAACAATAAACCATTCTGTTCTCTCTAATCATAATTTTAATAATTTCCCTATTTGGGATAAATAAAGTATATATATCTTGATATCGGAGGCGTGTGGCGCAGTGGGTTAATGCGCTGATCTTCAAATCAGAGGATAGCAAGTTCGAGCCCCACTGCAGTCAGCATGTTGTTGTGTCCCTGGGCAAGACACTTCACCTCAAATTGCTGCTGTGGGGATTGCCCACAGTACTGAGTATGTAAGTTGCTTTGGATAAAAGCGTCTAACAAGTAACATGTAATAATAATATCTAATTTATATTCTTTGACTTGCTCCATGCAAAAATAAGTCAGATTGTATAGAAGTCAATGAAAAAAAATTGACTTAACCTTCACTTCATTTATGATCTAAATTCACATGTTCCTGATGAGTTGATGGTCTTAATAGCTAGTTTAAAGTTATACAGCATGAATACATGGATGCTTTCACTAATCTCAGACTCATAATAGATTTTTTTCTTTAGGCTTTTAATAAGCATATAAGATGCCTAAATGTAAAAATATCTTAACCATTTACATATTTGGAGGAACATTTTAATTGAATGTTAAATAACATTTTATTTTTGTTGAATCCTAAAGCAACGATGTGTTTGTCCAGCAAGCTGCAACTGTGTTTTTGTATGTTAGTTTGTGTTTTTGTGTAAGTGTGTGTGCAGCTTCATTGGTATGCAGGTTGACTGTATACCTGGTTTTGAGCGTGGTTCAGAAATCCAGTGTCGATATCTCCCTCCCAAACCCACAAAGCTCTCTAATCTGCTTTACGCTGCTGTGGAAGCAGTCACCCAGGGACCAAAATGACAAAAATAGACACACAAAGACACATGGATAGAATAAAGAACAACACACAAACACACACACTCCCACATATGTAAAGTCCCTTCTCTGAGGGGGAAGCAGAAAAGTAAAAAACAAAACATCAATGGAATCTCAAAGAAAGGGACTGTTTGGAGGGAACATCTGCAGTCAACAGCATATCTCTGATGTCAACATAGATACACTGTGTTTGTGTGTGGTTACCTGGGTTCAAGTGGTCTTTTTAATCCATAACATAACACTTGCTTCCACTTTTACATAACCATATTAAAAACTACCTATCAACATATTAGTTTGAAAGTTGTTGGCACATGTGTAACTGACAATAGTTTACTCATAGTATGTACGATATAGTAGGCGCATCATGGGCTGATTATGAGTTAATGGGCCCCTCGGATCAAATATGCAAAAAGACCCACCAGTTTTACATAACGGTCAAAATTATACATTTTATTTTGTCCTTTTGAATCTTTTTATACGCATCTCTGGGTGATACATACTTTTTTTTGCCTCTTTATGTGTCTTGTAGTAGTTTGTGTAATTAAGTAGTTATTTTATGTCCCATGTAATTCTTGGTACTTTTGAGTATCTTTGAGTGGCTGTTTAAAAGATGGGTCATCTATCGGGTTGGTCGGACAAGAGCATATGTTGAAGTAATGCAATGCAATGTGTCTATTTGCGTGTTTCATGCACAATAACCCTCAACAGTAATAACTAATTAATTGTAAATATCACTTCTAAATATTCCTTGAAACAATCTTTCCTTGAGTTCTCATGTGTGGATTGGATCCAATCCACACATGAGAACTCAAGTCTACCTGCACAGTATCAACAGAGCCTATTAGGATTGTGAAGAGACACAGCACTTTCTTTAAAAGCACTACAGGTAATGTCCAAATCAAGGTAGCGAAGAGAAAAACAAGAAAGAAACACTGCAAACAAATTCACTGCAAAACCACACACACCGAGGTAAGGCTCAGAGTGTGTGTGTGTGTGTGTGTGTGTGTGTGTGTGTGTGCCTGCTACACAAAGGACTCCACTCCTTATTTATCGTGTTTCCTGTACGTGTGTGTTGCAAAAGCATTCATCACTTTCAGCAACGACTCCTACCTCCATCATATCTATCAGCCAGAGCAGCCTTTCCTACAGAAGGGGAGAGGGGAGGTTTGTTGGGAGAGGATCTTTTCTGCATCAGAATCGGTTAGAATCCATTGAGATATATCACACTACCCTTTTTCTCTCTTTCACACACTCAGGCACTAACCCAGAAATAAATAAATCATACCAAACTGAACTGTTGCTGCAAAATGAAAATAGTAGAGAAATAGCATCCCATGGAATATTTCCTAAGCACAGAGAGCTACAAAGAGCTACCAGTTTATCCTGAAAATATCCAGATGTTATGTTTCCACATAGTTTAAAGGTCACCTATTATGCAAAATCCACTTGTTCATGTCTCTTCTACATCAACATGTGTCCCCTCTGTGTAAAGAGATTCTGAAAGTTTCAGGAACAAACGATTCCTCTCTCCTTTGTCCTGATCCATTTCCTACGCCTAAAAACCCTGTGAAAACTGAGCATGCATCAGGAGTTTTGGCATCTTATGATGTCATCAACGATTTGTTGGCTTGTGTACCATTAGCCCAATCACCGACCAAGGTAACCCCTCCACCCTTACCACCTGAATCCTCCTAGAGCACCATTGTGTTCTTTGTAACCACATATCGAGAGATATGTGGTTACAAAGAACACAATGGTGCTCTAGGAGGATTCAGGTGGTAAGGGTGGAGGGGTTACCTTGGTCGGTGATTGGGCTAATGGTACACAAGCNCACTGTCGTAAACCGAGAGAGAGGATGGAAGGTTTTGTAAAATAATTGGGATGTAATATATTCATTACCTGGAATATAGTCTTGTCTCAGTTATGACACCGGCTAGTCTTAAATTACTGATTCCATGTAAATGGACCGAACTAAATGTCGTACGTCGGACTCTTGGGTGTTACTAGGAGTACCAAAATCCTGTCTCACGGTGGTGTTACGTAGAGACCTGACGATTTTGTACAAAATAAGTATTTATATACCTCTAACTGTATACGTTGTTTACACTAACGTTCATAAAATACGTTAAACTCAAACCTTACAGGTCCACTATATACATCACATGTTAGCAACGTTTTGCCTAACAAAACAAAAATTGTACCAAAAACTTCATGTCGACGAGTAATGATTTGGGATATCATGTAAATTTCGTCCTGGGTAAACTCTACTCTAATTGTAGACAACTCTATCGCATTTATACAGAATTAATTGTTTCAATCTGTTGGTTTCACCTGGTCGTTACACACGACTACGAGATTACTATCTAATCATACAGATTTTAGTAAGGAGTCGAAAATTAGAACACTAAATTGCGTAGAAATGTATAGACCAATAATAAAGATACTACTTGGAGTGTATGACCATCCGACGATGATACATCGTCGCGTCGAAACTCCTTGGACCACAAAATTGTTCTCATATACCACACTAGTCTGTGAAACCTGTTTCCATGTCCGATGTCATATGAAAAAGCCCTTTGGTAATCTTACCACTATTTACATAACACACCGTTCACACAACCTAAATCATTATTTTTCCACAAATTCATCCCGTGGCTTGCTATCGATTCGACGAAACAACAACTTTGCCTTATACACCCCCAAAGACGGTCGTACAACCTTGTGTGTGTTAGTATATCACATCTCGTCTAATACGTGATGTGGACTAAGGCGCGAATTTCGTGACGAAGGAAACCTTCACCGACTCCAAAAAACCGGACCGACGTGTCCCGCCGCACGTCCCTCGAAATATTTGCTAGATAACACCGCTCATACAAAAGGTCGTAAAGGAAAAAAAACGATCTTTTTTGAAAGGAACGAAAACGTATGCAAAATTCAAGATGTTAATGGAGATAAAACTTGCAATTCCTCCTTGAATAACTACCTCAAAACAAAACCTCCTCGAAAGACCATTGTACCCAAGTTATCTCACAGTTCCTAACACACAAGTTCAAGTCCTTCTTTCTTACACGGGATTCAACGGAAAAAAAAAGGTGGTATTCTCCGTCTTCCTGGAAACTAGAAACTTCCTAATCTCCTACCACACACACACACACACACACACACACACACACACACACACACACACACACACACACACACACACACACACACACACACACACACACACACACACACACACGAGACTGAGAGAAACTGCTGCAGTGATAAGCTTCCATGATCCGTCTTTGCTAAAGTTGATTTGTATTCGTAACTTCAGATAAGAAAAAGGTCGATTTACTTCTTGCCTTGTTCACAATGGTCATCGAGCTGCGTGGAAGAAACTTAAAAAAACGTATTTTATGGTCATTGTTATCCACATTTTTTTTTCTCGATCTGAGGAAGAACATTACAGCTTGAAATGGAATCACCCAAGGTAATATAAGTACCTGTCAGCTTCTGTTATGATAATGTCCCAGCTTTGCTGAGACTCTCATAAGTGTACACATAGACTTTGTCAGCTAGGAATCAGTGTTAGAATGGAGAAGCTAATTTATTGGGTACGACTGTCAAAAAACAACAACAACATAACAGAGGTACACTTCTGTCTGTTGGCCTCAAGTGTAACACCTGCCCTCTGAGGTCAGACACAATCTCTGCCACCATCATGTGCAATCTATTTTTACAGTGTGGCATGGCAATCTTCTACTTTTGTTTCCTGATTTAGTGTTTTGTTTCCAGAGAAAAGCACTCTCCTGCTAGAAAAATTATGTCCTAATGTTGTTTGAAAACACTGAGTGCAGGGATGTGAGGAATGAAGGAAATCTTTGCCTTAGGAAGAATTTGTTGTTCAGTAACTGACACACACACACACACACACACACACACACACACACACACACACACACACACACACACACACACACACACACACAACTGGTAGTGTGTTTTTTTTATTTGGTTTTCTTTGGTCTGTTTTACTCTGGAATTAGAAAAGGCCCAGTTAACTTAAATATGAAACTTTTGTCACATGTTGGTGATGGTAAAAATACCTAACAAGAGGGATACAATCTCACTCAAAAATACAATCAGGATTAATAATGAAAGTCTTTTCATTTACTTTATAAATACAGAGAGTAATGTATATCATAAATGTAAAAATATAAGGATTGTTTTCATAAATATAAACATATTAAAAGTGAGATACACTTTCTATATAAATAATATATATAATAACAGTTAAAATCAGTAATGCAGCTCCAGGAACTTTAGCTAAGACTCACTGTAGGTGTCTGGTTAAGCTTTCTAAAATTAATTTCAGATTGAACAAGTTTGTTAATCTTCGGAAGAGGACCATGCAGGGCCACATTTAAAAAATGTTTTGAGATATGAAAATGATGACAGCAGTCCCTCTTCTGCTTCCTTTCTAAAAGAGTTCTTTTTTTCAACTAGTGTTAATCCAGCAGAGTTACTCATGCCATTTGAGGAGATGGGAAGATAAGATGAGTCACAGGCTACAGATAAGCACAGTGTAGAGGGAGATCGTTTGAGGGAAGTGTTTTTGTGTGTCCTCAAAGTTAATGTTCAGTAGAGGTGTGATTCTAAAAAAAACTGAGGCGAATAGTTTCATATCTATTGGAAAATGCTTTTTTGAAACGTGGTCCTCCTCTTTGTATTGGCAAATGGAAAAAGCTCTAGCAGAGATAAAGGCATGTGACATGTTCACGTCCAGCTTTATCAGATTCCCTCTTTATCGATTAGATGTTGGCAGTGGTCAGCGTTGTTTTTGGTCACTGTGATAAAAGGGCTTGTCTGGCATCCAAGAAACTCATGAGAAAATGACCTCAGAGATGGATCGAGTCCAACAAAAGAGCCAGCACTTCTAACAGGATGTCCATTAACTGTAACATGGCTTTACAGTAAAGCGTTTCAAGAGGGGCTCATTAGCGGGCCTCTGCACGTGTTCCACTCCAGTAAATTATGACCGATTTCATTAACACCCTCAAGTGCTGATGTCATGGAAGTACTGTATAAGGAGAACTGGATACAGATTATATAAAAAGCATGATAAGGCGTCTGTATATAGATAAAATCAAATTATTATTATTAATCCCAGTGGGGAAATTCAGTAGTTTAACAGCAACAGGGTAAGATTGAAAAACAGGACAGCACAGATGCATACAATCAAGGATATAATCAAAGATAAAAATTAGAAATGGTAAATAACTATAAAATAAGAAATGAATTAAAATGAACATATATACATATTTAGTCGTGTGTGTGTGTGTGTGTGTGTGTGTGTGTGTGTGTGTGTGTGTGTGTGTGTGGTTGTGTGTGTGTAAACAATGTGTATTTTATGTCCAGTTTGTGTCACATTGTTGACCCCTTGTTGTGCTGCCTGATGGCTACAGGCACAAAGGACTGTAAGGGCTATTCAAGTGATTGTACTTTTTATATCTACTGATTAACAGATGTCTCTTATCAATGTTAGTCAATGGCAAAAAGTCAGTTTGGGCCCAATGATTGAGCGCACTGACACCGAAGTACCATGGATTGGCGACTACAAGCATTTTCTTCAACACTCCGCAGACTTCCTGGGGGCTTGTCTGATGTGCCCTCTGATACATCAGCCAGAGACAGTCTGACTGCCGCATGCCTTATGTGGGACGATTGGATCGCTCCATGGCGCCCTTGACTTAAGTAACAACCAGAAAGAAATGTCCCAGTAAGCATTGAGAGCATTAAGAGACCTTGTGCAATAGACAGTTGTTGGCTCGACACTGGGACAACTACAGCGGTTGATATGGATGGATGAGCGTGGGAGGGAGTTGAGGAGGAGGAGGTGGCGCCGGGCCTGCTTCTTCTTCCTGTTTCCGTCAAACACACGCAGACTCAGCCCCCGAAGCCGTGACTTTGAAGTGGTGTCTTTGATTAAGCAGTTAATTAAGGCAGAAGCTGCATGGAAGCGAGCAGATAACTTAGAGGAGAGAAAAAAAACAGGAAGAGAGGAAAAAGGAGCAGATAGTGATGTTGGCAGCTCGTCGGTTTGTCAAGAGCCAGAGTGAGGTCCTTCTGACGGGCGGAGCAGCCAGCTGGCACAGCGGGACGGAGTTAAAAGCTGTAAGAGGAAAAGAAACTGTCCACGTGTGAAAGGCACAGTTGCTGCCTTGCTGCAAGCTGCGGTGTTGGTGCCTCAAAGCATTAAGGGTGGTGGGACAGCAGGCGGATGGTAATTTATACATTCGAGACAGAAAGACTAATGATATGTGATGAATGTACTTGCTCTTTTTCTGATCTGATTCCTGCCTCTGCCTCCTCTCTGACCCACCTGCTCCTCTGTCACCTTTCTATGTATCTCCCTCTATCTCTGCTTTTTCATTCTCTATCCATCACTTCTTCCTCCTACTCTCCCTCTCGTCTCCTCCTCCTTCATCAAACCCCAACACCACCGTCCTTACAGTTTAAGCCAAACATCTGCCTGTCCTCTTTCTCCACATCCTCTTCTTTCCATCCTCTTCAACACCATTATTCACATCTTCCTCTCTCTGTCCACACCCCCCCCCCTCCCTTTCCTCACATCTTTCCCTTCTCTTTTACATATTTCCATAAATCCTTCTTATTACATCTGAATCAGAAAAGGGGTTGATTGCACATAATTTTTTCGCAGACATGGAATTTGAGTTGGTGTTAGTTGCATACAATTAACATAATGAAAACACTGAGTGAAGAATGAAGGACATTTTCCCTGTAGGAAGAATGTGTTGTTCAGTAGCTGGGAAACGCACACACATACACACCCACAGATACACACCCACACATACAACCACACATACACACCCACACATACACACCCACACATACACACCCACACATACACACCCGCACATACACACCCACACACCTGGTAGTGTGGTGTTTTTTATTTGGTTTTCTTGGTCTGATTTACTCGGGAATTAGAAAAGGCTCAGTAGAATCTTAAATGTGAAACTTTTTGTCACATGGTGGTGATGGTAAAAATAAATAATACCAGGGATCAAATCTAAATCTTGGGCTAAAACCTCACTCACAGTTTAGGGACAGATAAACAGAGCACTACTCTGACCGGTAATTTTATAGGACACATAAGTAACAAAAAAAAAGGAATCCAGTGATGGGTTAGCATAATAACAATTAATAAAGTCAAGTAACATATTATAAGTATTGAAAAATTCTAAAAAAAACAAACAATATAAACAATGAATATATTTGTAAAAATGTATTATCCACTCTTTCCTCCATCTCCACCAGCCTGGTTTCTATAAAGGCGTGGCAGGCTCCCAGGTGACCCTGTCCAGCCTGGTGAACCAGACGCGGGCCATGCTGGAGGAGCAGGCGCGCCACCTGCTGACGGAGGTGGAGCGTCAGACCATGGGCTACTACGTGGAGGAGTACCGGGAAGGACACATCGGGGTGGAGCAGCTGGTGGTGGCGCTGTTCGAGCTGCTCAACACGCACGCAAAGGTGAAGGCTTGTTTCTGCGCTCCTGTAGGTCTGTGTGGGATTGCTGTGATATTTGAATTGAAGTTTTCTGAGACCTTCAGAGATTTATACCCAGGCTTTTTACCGAAACTTACAGCACTGTTTTGTTTTTCTTTCATCCCCTGATCTTAAAAGTCTCTTGATTTTCTAATAGTCTGCAGTAGTTCACCTTGTAAAGACACACAATAAATCAAAGGCGTTTTATTTCAGATACATGTACCTACAGAAGGTCCTCTGTAAACTTCCTTTACTGCCTAAATCTTGGTTTGGATTTAAAGGAACATTCACATTTAATGCCATCAGTAATGACACTCACTATTCAGTTTAATGAACTAACCAAAGTTGTTGTTTTAAAGGGGAAAATAGCATGATAAAATCACTCTTTAAGTGCTTGTGAATATACATTTTGGAAGCTGGAGTGCAACCAACCCACACACTGTCAAGAAAACGCTACCCTGTCAGTTATTTGTGAGCATCCTGGTAAGTAAATAAGGAATTCAACAAGCCATTCAGATTTGGTTACGCTTTCTATGCCACACGCAGGCCTATTATAATATTCCGCCCCCCTATAAAAGAGTATGAATCTCAAATAAGTACAATAGGTCCCCTTTAAATCACCATGAAATGAGCTACACTGTATCTCACATGGAAAAGTGTGCTCCAATATACAAAAGCCCAGTCTGTATACGGTCAATACCACAGTCCATAGCAGCACAGGTTCGATTTCAATCCTGAGGCTGCAAATCATCCCCTCACTTTCTCCCCTTGTTTGTCTTCACCAGTTCTTATCAAGACAAGATACAACAAATGTATTAATCAGCATAAAGTACAGTTTAGGCCAAAACTAATGAGGTCTATATGCATGACTACATCCCATCAACAGGACCTTAAATAGTTCTTCTTCAAGCAGTCACATCGAAACAATAACCTGTTTTTTGACTGTTTGTTGCTTTAAAAAGTTTGATACTGAGAATTAACTGCTAATCCATAAATGCTAAATCTTCTCAAAATAAGATGTTAGAGCTGTTGGACTGTTTCTGTTTGTCACAACACAAAATCCTCAGAAAACTCAGTAGGGGGGACGTTTATTTCTCATGAAGATGTGGTTTAAGTTTATCGATCTCAGCAACATTCACTAAATCAGGGTTTGGATGAAACACAACTTTTGGTGTAGCACAGTTGCAGAAAAAAACTTGTTTCAGTCCTTAAATGAATCCTAGTTTGTACGACCCACCCTAAGCCTGTTGCATCATACCTCTCCTCCCCTCTTGTGTCTCCCCCTCTGTCCCTCCCCCCCCCTCAGTTCTCTCTGCTGTCAGAGGTTCGAGGCCTGGTCACCCCTCAGGACCTGGAGCACTTTGACGCGCTGGTGCTGAGACGAGAAATTCAGGCTCTTAAAGCGCGACAGGGGCCAGCCGGAGCCACGGCACTGCAGCAAGACTCCCTGTCCATGGTGTCGTACCCAGACACTCTGACCTCATCTTCAGCCAGCTTCATGACCAACACCACCCTCAGCTCTGCACGGGTAGGCCGGGTTTATCAGTTCAATAACTCTCTGGCACCTTCTGATATAGTGCAGGTCTTTTTTTTATTTTAAAGGTCCCCTATTATACTGTTTTTCATCAATATATTATAGGTCTCAGATATATACAAAACATGTCTCTGAAGTGTTTGACTTGAAACACCAAACAGATCCTTGCAGCATCCCATAATCCCCTCTGTTTCAGCCCTGTTTCTAAAGTGCTGATTCTCTGTCTGTTACTTCAGATGAAACTGCCAAGGCACAC